AACAACATTAGATCCAGTGTCGACCTTTGAACCTGATGAAAAAAAAACTTCATAAATACAACGTTGACCATGTGTAGAAATAATAATGTATAATAATGATTCTCACCATCTTCAGACGACAGCTGGACTGCAGGAATCATCACAGAGTCCTTCTTCAGAGGAACGGAGGGCACTTGAACTTCACATTCAACCTGTGTGCTGTTGTCATAGCTACGCCTCAGCACACTGTGGTGTAAACAGTGACCGTACCGTTTGTGTTTTTGAAACTGTGTGTAGAAAAGTTGAGTTTTTGATGCAGGACGTTTAATGTGACAGTGGGAGCAGGTCGACCCGTAGCTGAGCAGAAACAATGACCTCTTCAGGAAAGTTTGATTCTCTGACGTGAAGAACGGGTCCATGCAGCTCTGAAAATACAAGATGAAAGTTATAGAAGAAACTCGAGGGATGACATGAAGTGTTGTATTACTAAAGCAGGTACTGACCGTAGAGTTTGAGGCAGGTTGTAGCAATGAGAGCTCCATCAGGGTAGGTGTTAAACATGCAGCGATAGCAGCCTTCATCCTCCTCCGTCACGTTCCTGATCAGGATGGAGCTGTTCTGCAGTCCAGCATCAATTAACTCCACTTTCCCTTGAAAATCAGCGTTCACCAGTTTCTTCAAATATTTGTCGTAGGTGATGACATTACTCTCTCTGTCAGGTAGAATCTTCTGCCAGGTGACTTGAAGAACTTCTTTGGTTTGAATCAGCAGACAGTTTAAGCAGGCCTGTTCTCCCACAGCTGCAGCCACAGTCTTCTGTGTTTGTATCACAGAGTTTAGACCTGAAGGAGAGGACAAGTGTATGTTTCTTTATTATTGGGCCCATTGAATGTGTTGCTCCTGTTGTCAATCTGACCCCAAATTCAATCTTTTGAAAAATTATGTTTTTTAATCATCAAATAGTCTGAAAATAATGGGGGTTGTTCAGTACTATGCTCTTCATGATTACAGTAAATTTGAGGGAATTTGACTGAATTATGGGTTTTTTATTGAATTTACTAACGTCTGTTGTCCTCTGGGGTCAAAATGACCCCGCAGCATAAAGTGGTGCATTGGAGCAAATGATCACACCATACTGCTTTCCAAAACATCTTGGATCTTGGATGTTTGGGGTCAACAAATAGTTATGACAACAACAACAACAACAAACAAAAAAACTCAGTTTCCTGCACTAGTGAGGTCTTTGACTGCATTAGTTTACGAGTAGAGAGTTGAAAGATTTATCAGTAAACTAGTAGACAGCAAAAATTCTTCATGTTAACTCGTAAGGTGCAAAATGTCTACGAGTTAACTAGTGAGGCTCGGTATGGCCAGTCCTTTAACATTAAATGAGTCTGGCTTACAAGTGGCAATTTACATTCCAACATGTCAAAATGTCATTTTGGTCAACATATCAATTATGTAATTTCAACTAGTAAGAATTGCATTTTAGATATCTAGAATTAATTTGTGATATTTGTAATGTAAGAACAATTGTAGATATCATAAATGAACTTTGTCACTCAAATAATTGAATTTTTGATATCAAGAATGAATATTTTTAGTAAGAATTGAGTTGAAAATGACATTGTGGATATGTCGGCTTGGAATTCTAACATGTCAAAAAGCAATTATTGATATCTGCAATTTCTTAATGATTTAATGTTAAAAGGGCTTGCCATAGGCTCGGAAATGTTTACTAGTTAACTAGTAGGAGCTAAAATGTCAATTAGTCACACTAGGGGAAGCAGTTTTCACCTTCCTAGTTTACTAGTAAAGCCCCGAACAGTTTACTAGTAAAGGAATAAGTGCCTCGATGTCCACTAGATAAAATAGTAGGTATCTTTTTGGCCTCTGCAGCAGCTCCCAACACCCAGCAGCCCCTCCTGGCCCATCACCCAAAAAACAGGAGCAAATTCTGCCCTCGCCAGAGTGATCTCAAAACATTGGAAATGTGCCAAAAGTGCAGTGCATATACAGATCATGACATTACTACCTGCCTCGCATGCAGGCATGTAAATGAGGTCTTATCGGCCTTAAATCTCACATGGAATAAAAAAATGGTGCTAATGTGTTTGAATGAAGTTGTTACGAAATGTGTAACACAGAATTGGGTTTAAAAATCCACTTTATATTCTTTAAATTACAGTCAAACCAGACAGGGTCATTTTGACCCCAGAGGACAGGTGGTGTATTGCAATCGGGAGGACAACACGAGGGTTAAAACAGGTTAAAATGTACTGGACTGTGTATTATTATAGGGAGGTGTTTCTATTTCTGTTGGCACACCACCCCTTCATTTATTAAACACCACCCCTTCCTATGACTTCGTTAAAGGTGCACTATGTAGTTTTGGTCGAAATGTACAGATTCTGTGGTATATGTTCATAACTTTATACACAAAATGTCCTCAGGGACCCATTTTTTCTTTTTAGTAAAGTTTGTGTATTCAGTTCGGAAATATAGCATAGAATTGTTTCACTTCTCCAACTTTCTAATTTCCCCACTTATCTTTTCTTTTTTCAATGCATGATTTGATTTAAAAAAAACTTAAATATCAACTTGCTCAACTTTTGCATTCTTCCAAAATATTTATACACCAAAGCCGTAAACATGAGTACACAGGAAATATAAGAGTGCGCTGTTTGCCATCTTTCACCCATAATGTCTCTCACATGCTGCCAAAATGTAAAGAACAATTGGTTAAAGCGTCGCTGTACCTGGGTGACGTCATCGTCCTGGTCAGGAGGACAGGGGCCCTCTCCGAATAGCCACAGTTCAGTAGGCAGTACTTTTCAATAGGGAGTTTCAGTATACTGAACTTTCGTGGTCATTTTTTGGGTCCACCTCAGTATACTGAACATTTCAGGGTGGATACTAACTTCCTGGTTTCATGCAGTATGGATCTGATGTGTGCTTTCAGGAAATTAATTGTATTTTACCCATAATGCTGTGTGAAATTAAACGTAAATCGTCACTTTACGTCCGCCTCCAAATCAAAACAAAACGAGCGCGGATTAATTTAATAATTTTTTAATCCTGACTGTATATGAGCATTACTCTTCTTGAATAAAGCTAAACAAAAAAAAAGCTACGGTGACAGTTTCTTATGTAATAAATTTAAGTCCTCCTTCCCAAACAGCTTATCCAAAATAAATGTAATGGAGCCGTCAGTCAAACAAACATATTGTTGATCTAATTATAGTCTCACTCACTAACACCTGTGTGTGTGTATATAGAGACTTCAACACCTTTAGTTACTTTTGCTTACAAAGCAAACAAGGCAGTAAATAAAGAGCCAAAGTACATAGCACATATTGAGGTCTAAGAACTTTACTCCAGTCAAATCTTTAAGGTTCAAGTTTAAAAAGCCAAAAAATGCCAGGCTGGTCTCGTAATGTAATAATCACAGCAGAGGAGGTCATCCCTTTATTTAAATGTCCCTTACCTTCAAACAGCAACCCGGTAAGTATCAGGAGGAGCAGCATTTTGTCTCTGCAGCTGAAGAGACGACACACTTTCAGTTTTGCTTCTTGGAAACCTTTAAATAAGAGCTGTGTGTAAGGGGAGGAGCCTAATCTGAAGAGTTTATTATTTCATTTTCACGAGGCTCCCTCTGCGAGGGAGAGGCTGTCTCACGGCCAGAGCAGGGAGGGGCTCTGAGGGACAGAATGTCATCAGCCTCTGCACAGGGAGGGGCACTCTGAGGGACAGAATGTCATCAGCCTATATATATATATATATATATATATTTGCTCAAGTAAATGAACATAAACACACACAGGCTGCATGAGCCGCTCAGGTAGAGAGACAGATCACAAGCATCGTGAAAATATAACATAAATCACATTCACAACAATCAAAAGTTTTAACCATAAATTCAAAGCAACATATAAGACAACTTTCCAACACAACACACCTTACAATCAAACAGGATTGTATACTTGACTGAACTTTACATTGCAGCAAAACGTTGTCATTTTCTGAGCTTTCAGATGAGCAGGTAGGAATGGTATGCTCTTACAAGGCACAATTTAAATACAAAAAGTCAAAAAAGCAACATCGACATGATATCCTTGTCATTATTTCACGGAACAATCATCTTCATGTATATAGACGATGTTTGGCTGATCAAGTGACTGCACAGAGCTCTCCTGGGCTCAATGATGACAAAGTCGCCTGTTAACTGAATATAGAATCTGACTAACTGGCTAAGACACAGCACAGCAGAAAGTAGGACTAACTTTTGTTCAGTTAACATTATTTGACTTGTGAGTGGTGGCACTGGAGCCCTAGCAGTAGCGTACCTCCTGTTGGGGGAGATATTTTTATTATTTTGCCCAACCAACAACTTGAAGATGTTGGTTGGGCTTTCTTTTTCTGTCGTGCTGGCTTCATACATACACATACATAAAGAGAGAGGAGGGAGGGACGCACAGGTCTGAGGTGGGAAAAACCAAATGTCAGAGCGGGAGGGGGCGCAGACAAACGTCACTATTTATGACTGCTAAATTGAAAAAATCTACCACATTGTCCTGTTTATAATACTTAACATTCATTATCAATAATTATGATATCATATTGGGTGGGTTCTGGTGGCTGGTTTGGATTATTGGGTGGGTTGCACCCCCCCATAACTCTGACTCTAGGACTTGATGCAATTGCTTTAAATGGAATAGTCTTCAACAAAGGGCAAAAACACAAAAAGCCAGTCAGCCATTACATTTTCTAAAATCTTATTGTTTCCACTGTTTTTCTCTGAATGATAATATGACTATTTCCTGCACTGCAGTTAATACATCCTGTGGTTAGAAAAGGAGGAACACACAACCATGACACATACATGAATTCTGGTTTGTTATTTCTGGTAAAACCGAAAGGTAACCAACATTCATTATGTATTATCAGAGTATCCTATTGGTCCACGGTAAGTTCATTGTTGGGTTTGTTTTTAATGAAGATTTAGAACGAAATGAAGAAAATTGAAGCTGCATAATTTAAATGTATTTATTTACAAATATATCAAAATGTATAAACAAGAGATGCATAAAAAAGGAAGCAAATGCCTCATATACCATGGCAACAGGGGTGATAAAATAGGAATGTAACATACATAAATTCTGATTTGTTATTTCAGGTATTAGTGAAGATAACCAACATTAGAGTAAACTATTGGACCATGGTAAGTTCATTTTTGGGTTTGAAGAATCATAAAGAAATAAATAAAAATTGAAGCTGCAGAATTTAAATGTATTTCTTTTAAAGTATATCAAAATGTATAAACAAGAGATGCATAAAAAAGACAATAAAAGCATCATATGGATTCAAAAGAGAATCTGCTGGACTTAACACTCATCAACAGACACAGATGTGTGTCCTCTAACATGCTGCAACATCTGGACTGATATGTTGAAGTCACTCTTCTTCACTTTGTCACCTTGTGTGTTTCTGCATCACTAAAGATTTGGCTTTTTTTTACACTGTGGTGTCCGAGATGAAGCTTGTTGTTTGAAGTTGATCATCTTGTCAGCAGAAGATGTCCACTGCCTGAGGCCCTCCTGCTCGTTCTCTTGATGCATTAAAGGCGTTCTGTTCCTTTAAGGGGGAAAAAAACATTCTGGTGAATTTCTTCAACAATCATCAACACTTATTGGTTATATCAACAAACAATATTTACAACATTCTTATAAAAAATTAATTGTCTCACATGAGAGGTTTCTCAGTAGGTAGCGGTGTTTTGATCACCTCAGGGTCCTCCTTATTCTTACACCAAGATTTGGGGCTGGATGGAAATCAGAAAAACACAAAGAAGAACTGATTATGGGGGAATTCAGCATAAAGTGATGATAGCAAACAACAGTTCAGTGCTAGCGTAGAGTAACATAAATCAAAGCACTAAAAGCAGTCTTATGTTAATAATCTATGATAATCTTCAAGAGGATCCACAGGAGGCCAAGCGGGGCCTTGAGCCATGCTACAGCTAATGTTAGCATAGCTTAATTTAAGGGAACTATTTCAGTGTGCTGAGACAGGCTAAATAACACTGACATCAATCATCACATCCACACAGGGTTAGGAGTAAAAAAAAAAACTGTTCAATAATAACAAACACTTGTATTGCAAACTGTACCTGTTCAGTAGTTTTTGTCTCAGAAAGCACAGAAGACAGAACAGAAGAACCACTAAAGAGACTATCACAACTGCTGCGATGACCAGAGTAATACCAACAACATTAGATCCAGTGTCGACCTTTGAACCTGAAAAAAAAAAAACTTCATAAATACGACGTTGACCATGTGTAGAAATAATAATGTATAATAATGATTCTCACCATCTTCAGACGACAGCTGGACTGCAGGAATCATCACAGAGTCCTTCTTCAGAGGAACGGAGGGCACTTGAACTTCACATTCAACCTGTGTGCTGTTGTCATAGCTACGCATCAGCACACCTGTGGTGTTAACAGTGACCGTACCGTTTGTGTTTTTGAAACTGTGTGTAGAAAAGTTGAGTTTTTGATGCAGGACACTTAATGTGACAGTGGGAGCAGGTCGACCCGTAGCTGAGCAGAAAACAATGACCTCTTCAGAAAAGTTTGATTCTCTGACGTGAAGAACGGGTCCATGCAGCTCTGAAAATACAAGATGAAAGTTATAGAAGAAACTCGAGGGATGACATGAATGTGTTGTATTACTAAAGCAGGTACTGACCGTAGAGTTTGAGGCAGGTTGTAGCAGTGAGAGCTCCATCAGGGTAGGTGTTAAACATGCAGCGATAGTAGCCTTCATCCTCCTCCGTCACGTTCCTGATCACGATGGAGGTGTTCTGCAGTCCAGCATCTCGAAACTCCACCTTACCACTAAAGTAAGGGTCCACTCTTTGACCGAAGTGCAGGTTGTCAGTGGCGACGTTCCTCTCTCCATCAGGTAGAATCTTCTGCCAGGTGACTTGATGAACTTCTTTGGTTTGAATCAGCAGACACTTTAAGCAGGCCTGCTCTCCTACAGCTGCAGCCACAGTCTTCTGTGTTTGTATCACAGAGTTTAGACCTGAAGGAGAGGACAAGTGTATGTTTCTTTATTATTGGGCCCATTGAATGTGTTGCTTTAAAACAGGTTAAAATGTACTGGACTGTGTATTATTATAGGGAGGTGTTTCTATTTCTATTCGAACACCAACCCTTCACTTTTGTAAATAAAAACATTAAGACACCTGAGTCATATTCAACAATAGCTAAATAAAATATTAAATAATATTTTTTAATCTTTGCATTAGAGAACATGAGCTGAACTGTGCTGCACTTAATTACATTACACTGAGTTTGTATCAGAGCTGCTGGAGCTGCAGAGACACAGAAACATTGTTTGACTCAAAACTTGATTCCTTTAATCAATAATTTTCACAATAAAGAGGCACAGACACATGGATTTTTAACAAAGTTTTTACCTCTATAACTCAAAATCATTCAAAAAGTGATCTCAAAGCAATAAAAGTTAATCTAGTGTGAGTGAGGCTGCATGTTTCAGTATTTTCAGACACAACAGAAACTCTGTCACTTTGGTTGCTATGTTACAGACTACAATATGAGGAAGTCTACAAACACACTGATGAAGCCGGGTTCATTAGGGTTTGTTTTTCTCTGCAAAATATCAAACAATACGAGTTAAACCAGGAACTATGCAAAAGTGTTTCAAATAAACCGCCAGAAATGTGGCGCGAAAATACAGTAAACTAACTAAAATTAATTTAGAAAACAGGAACAGCTGCGTTCAGATTAACAAAAAATACATAAAGACTAAAAGTTATAGCCTGAGCATTAAACATTTCTTACCTTTCTGAGAGACTGTCAGCACAAATGAAGAGAGAATAAGTGCACGCTGCGCCATATCATTCATTCACCCACCACCAAACTAAAGTGAAAGTGAGGCAGCGGTCTCTCTGCAGATAAATGAGATAAACAGAAGGTCTGCTCTGATATGAGACCGCTTGTGTTGGTCTAAATCTGGATCAACAGAGACCTCTAGTGGCCATGAGGTGCAACTGCTGTTGATAATATGCAGTAGCTGACACTAAGTTTTTTACACGTTATTGATGCACATTCCTGCACAACTGTTCAGCTCTTCCATTGCACCTTTTTCTACATTATTATATTAAATTATCAGACAAACAGATGATTCTGGACTGAGTCATTAAAACTCATATATATAAACTGACTGATATTGTTAGATGACAGTCAGCAGGTAAAATGAGGTTAAGAGAAAGTAATTGCTACACTTAACTTAATTAAATCTGAACCAAAAGCGACCTCTAGTGGACAAAATGTGTAATTGCTGCTGATCATTTGCAGCTGACATTGAGTTAGAACATTTTAACACGAAACAAATAACAGGATCATAACTTGAATTGATGGATATACATGAAAAATTATATTTTCTTCTTGTACTTTCATCATGTTGAGTTGATTAAACTCATTCAGGGGAAATATGACACTATTGATCAGGTGAATTAAACACAGCAGCTTCTGGTGTGCAGTCTGTGCTGTTTTTTTAAAATAACAATTTTATTTATGACTAAAGAAATAATACTTCACAATGTTTTCAGTCACATCATTATTCCCCTTGTCATAATTTAACAAAAAAAGTCAAAATTTCATTCAAAGAGATGCAAAAATCTCTCACAAAGACATTTTGTACATTATTAGTCATACAAAGGCAAACATTCAGATTTAAAACTTACATTTTAAAAAATAAAACAGATTTAAAATTCATGTAAACAGAGAAGGGTATCAAAATGTTTTTTAAAAGACTTTTCTTATCAAAGCTTAAAAAATCAGAATTAAATAAAACACGGCTCTTCCATCAATTTGTGAATCACAGCTTTTCACGGTTACTCAAAAAACTGAGTTCATCTGATCAAACACTCAAACAGTCTCCTGGATGAAACTGGTGTTGGATTTGTGTTTGTTCTCTCTTCACTATTCACAGGACTTGATCGAAGTCGGACCTGTACGTTCTCCTGTGGAGACTCTTGGGTCCTTGAGAAAGAAAACAAAACATATAAACTAATCTCTCAATAGAAGTCATACTTTAGGATTTGTTTTTTTTGTGAGTAGGAAGATATGGAGGAAGGCAGGACGTACAAAATGTAACAGATTTAAGAGAACTAATGATTTCTTACTTCTGAGGGTGTTCATCTGTAGTTCCTGGTATCTCATTCATATGGACCTCGTGTGACAGACTGAAGGATTTCAGAACAGTTAGAGGAGGACAAACATTTATAGACTTTAAAACTTACACATAAGTATTGATTAGAAGAAGTACCTGTTCTGAGGTTTGTGTCTACGCCAGAGGAAGACGACTGCAGTGATGATACCACAGGTTGTTAAAGCTGATAATATAATGATTGAAGTTCTACCTTTGAGGGGAAAAAGAGGAGAAAATGTTTAAAATGATGCAGACAAACTTTAAAGAATCTACATCTGATCATTTACTTACTGCGACTGCTGCTATTAGCTCCTGACTTTTCATCAGGGAGCGACTTTTTGACCTCAGGGATCATCTTAAACACCTCTTTGTGAACGCCATAGGCGCCCCCCACTGTGCACATGACCTGTGTGCTGTTGTCATGACGACGAGAGAGCACAGCTGTCTCAGTGACGGTGACTGTATTGTTGTTGTTCCTGACTGAGACAGGAGTGTTGTGGAAGAAGTTCAAGTCTTGGTGAGGGAGCGTTATTGTCACAGTGGGGGCGGGTCGACCCGTAGCCGAGCAGGAAACAACGACCTCTTCAGAAGAGTTTGATTCTCTCACATGTAGGACGGGTTCGTGCAGCTCTGTGAAGAAAATGAAACACTATCAAAGTGCCTCTCGTCCAATCAGATTACAGCGTTTGAACTAACTGTCCTACAATTTGAAGAGTCGCATGAATGAAGTTACAGGAGATACTTTAAGTGTTTCAAACTTTATTATTTATCAAAATAGAGAACAATGCTAAAGCTTGCAGTTGGGTTGCATTGCAATGCATCCTGGGACATGTAGGCACCTTTGGCAGAACAACAGGATATATCAGTTTTGATATCCACATACAACTGGCAACATTTCAACTACAATAATTATGGACAAAGTTGCATATTTTACCATGGACGTTCAGGCAGATTGTAGCAGTGAGAGCTCCATCAGGGTAGGTGTTAAACATGCAGCGATAGTAGCCTTCATCCTGCTCCGTCACCTCCCTGATCAGGATGGAGGTGTTCTGCAGTCCAGCATCTCGAAACTCCACCTTACCACTAAAGTAAGGGTCCACTCTTTGACCGAAGTGCAGGTTGTCAGTGGCGACGGTCCTCTCTCCATCAGGTAGAATCTTCTGCCAGGTGACTTGAAGAACTTCTTTGGTTTGAATCAGCAGACAGTTTAAGCAGGCCTGCTCTCCCACAGCTGCAGCCACATTCCTCTGTGCTTGTATCACAGAGTTTAGACCTGAAGGAGAGGACAAGTGTATGTTTCTTTATTATTGGGCTCATTGAATGTGTTGTTCCTGTTGTCCTGGGGTCAATCTGACCCCAAATAAAATCTTTTGCTGTCAAATATGTTTTTTATTCATCAAATGGTCTGAAAATAATGGGGGCTGTTCAGGCCTCTGCAGCAGCTCCCCAACACCCAGCAGCCCCTCCTGGCCCATCACCAAAAAACAGGAGCAAACTCTGCCCTCGCCAGAGTGATCTCAAAACATTGGAAATGTGCCAAAAGTGCAGTGCATATACAGATCATGACATTACTACCTGCCTCGCATGCAGGCATGTAAATGAGGTCTTATCGGCCTTAAATCTCAAATGGAATAAAAAAATGGTGCTAATGTGTTTGAATGAAGTTGTTACAAAATGTGTAACACAGAATTGGGTTTAAAAATCCACTTTATATTCTTTAAATTACAGTCAAACCAGACAGGGTCAATTTGACCCCAAAGGACAGCAGGTGTTATTATGTGCTGCCATTCAAAAAATTCAAATGATTCAAACACAGCATCTTCACTAAACTTATACTTAGACATAGACATATACCACTCTGTGATAAGTCAAAGACTCAAAATGATATAAATTCTAAATATTTTTTGTTCCACTCAAAAAGGGTATACTTTTATCTAAACAAGGTCTATTGGCCCTAAATTAAAAAGAAAAGGAAAAAAAAAAAAAAGGGAAAATTCATGGTAATGGGTTGACCTGAAGTCAGACTAAAGGTGTAACACAGAATTGATTGAATTAATTTATGTCATATGACTTAAATTACAGTCAAACCGGGCGGGGTCATTTTGACCCCAGAGGACAGGTGGTGTATTGCAATCGGGAGGACAACACGAGGGTTAAAACAGGTTAAAATGTACTGGACTGTGTATTATTATAGGGAGGTGTTTCTATTTCTGTTGGCACACCACCCCTTCATTTATTAAACACCACCCCTTCCTATGACTTCGTTAAAGGTGCACTATGTAGTTTTGGTAGAGAAATGTACAGATTCTGTGGTATATGTTCATAACTTTATACACAAAATGTCCTCAGGGACCCATTTTTTCTTTTTAGTAAAGTTTGTGTATTCAGTTCGAAAATATAGCATAGAATTGTTTCACTTCTCCAACTTTCTAATTTCCCCACTTATCTTTTCTTTTTCCAATGCATGATTTGATTAAAAACTTAAATTTAACTATCAACTTGTTCAACTTTTGCATTCTTCCAAAAATATTTATACACCAAAGCCGTAAACATGAGTACACAGTAACAACTGTAACTGTTCTTTGTGAGTAAGGTGAGTCTAAATAACTTGGACATGTGCAAAATGTGACACAAATATTACCGAACACGTTTTTCTTACCTTTGTGAAATACTGCAGACACGAAGAGGAAATATAAAAGCGCGCTGTTTGCCATCTTTCACCCATAACGTCTCACACATCCCGCCAAAACTACTACTTCTTCTTCTTTAGATTTTATCGGCAGCTGGCATCCAAAAAGTTGCATTACTGCCATCTGCTGGATTTAATTTTCACTCACATTCTTAAATCCTCAATAAACCCCTTCTCAAGAGATATTTAAACAAGCATCTTCGTCCTCTCCGTCTCTCCCACACTCCAAAATACTTTTGAAATCTCTTCTTACGAGTCCTCACTCTCCATTTCTGACATCATGTTATGTCTACATACTTTCTACATTTAATAACTACATGTTCAACTGTTTCTGCTAGATTGCATATCTCACAAAGACCGGATGAATGTTTTCCAATGATATGTAGAGTACTATTTAAATGACTGTGACTGATTCTTAACCTGGACATTACGACCTCCTCTCTTCTGTTGCTCCCTCTGTATTTTACTTTATCTATTTCCCTCTGAATTGAGTATAAATGTCTTCCCTTTGTCTGATTGTTCCGATATTGTTGCCATTCTTGTTTAATTTTACTCCATGTGACTCGTTTCCCCTCTGACTTAGATCATTTGATGTTAATATCAATCCTCTCTTTCTTTACAGCTTCCTTTGCCAACCTGTCCACCTTTTCATTTCCTGCTATACCTGAATGTGCTGGAACCCACATGAACATCACATCTGTCCCCTGTTTAACCACCTGGGAATGTGTAAATATGATTTCACATAATAAATCTTGACGACTGTGAGATGATCCTGATTGAATACTGTATAAAGCGCTGACTGAATCACTGCATATCAGCACTTTCCTTCCTTTAATTTGCTCAACACATTCTAATGCAACTAAAATGGCGTATAACTCTACTGTGTACACGTTCAGAAAATCTGACGTTCTCGTCAATACTTCAACATTGAATTTTGGGATAAACGCAGCTGATCCTGTTGAATTTGTCACAGGGTCTTTAGATCCATCTGTGAATACTTGTACATGATCTCCATATCTCTGTTCTATGTTTTCATAGAATTCACTAATCAACATTTCTTTTCTTTATCTTTAGTAATTCCAAGTCTACTTGAGCTGTCTCAAGCATCCACATTGGAACTGGTGGCCATAAAACAGTTGGACTGATATCCTTGTCATACACTCCCATATCTCTCACCACTCTATCCCCTATCCATCCAAAACTGGACTTAATTGTTCTCTCTTTCTCCCAGCAATCCTTTAACACTGATTTCCGCCAAAGTTGCTGTACCTGGGTGACGTCATCGTCCAGGCCATGAGTGGCACACAGACCGGGGGTGGCATATGTACAGATTATCATCAAACATGAAGCAACAAATGCGTACAGTAGCCTAATGTAATTAAAACAGATTTATAACTAAATACCTTTATTTTGTTAAATTATGACCAGCTAGCAGTTTAAAATGAAGTTTATACAACATGTATTGCGTTTTGCTGAACTATAAATAACATGAGAACACACACATTGAACAAATTAGTGCTGTAGTGCTAGAAAAGTGCTAAACTGTTGATCATAAATAAGTCATACATTTAAACATCAATATACAATCTAATGAATTAAATTATAATGTAAATCACATTACACACTTATAAATCAATAAATGGATTTAAAAGTGCCTATTTCCAGTGCAAAAACACAACAAGAGATTGAAAGGTTTATAGTTGAGGAGCAGTATTCGGCTCATTTTCCTCATTTCTTGGCCGCTGTTGTTCCCCATGAAGCACACTAGATGGCAGTATAGCCTCACTGTGTGACAAGTAAATAAAACACGGCTCTTCCATCAATTTGTGAATCACAGCTTTTCACGGTTACTAAAAAAAACAGAGTTCATCTGATCAATCACTCAAACAGTCTCTTGGATGAAACTGGTGTTGGATTTGTTTGTTATCTCTTCAGTCTTCACAGGAGTTGATCGAAGTCGGACCTGTACGTTCTCCTGTGGACACTCTTGGGTCCTTGAGAAAGAAAACAAAACATATAAACTAATCTCTCAATAGAAGTCATACTTTAGCATTTGTTTTTTTTGTGAGTAGGAAGATATGGAGGAAGGCAGGACATACGAAATGTAACAGATTTAAGAGAACTAATGGTTTCTTACTTCTGAGGGTCTTCATCTGTAGTTCCTGGTATCTCATTCATATGGACCTCAGCAGGTGTTATTATTTGCTGCCATTCAAAAAATTAAAATGATTCAAACACAGCATCTTCACTAAACTTATACTTAGACATAGACATATACCACTCTGTGATAAGTCAAAGACTCAAAATGATATCAATTCTAAATATTTTTTGTTCCACTCAAAAACAGGGTATACTTTTATCCAAACAAGGTCTATTGGCCCTAAATTTAAAAGAAAAGGAAAATTCATGGTAATGGGTTGACCTGAAGTCAGACTAAAGTTGTATGCACCAAAGCCGTAAACATGAGTACACAGTAACAACTGTAACTGTTCTTTGTGAGTAAGGTGAGTCTAAATAACTTGGACATGTGCAAAATGTGACACAAATATTACTGAACACGTTTTTCTTACCTTTGTGAAATACTGCAGACACCAAGAGGAAATGTAAGAGTGCGCTGTTTGCCATCTTTCACCCATAATGTCTCTCACATGCTGCCAAAATGTAAAGAACAATTGGTTAAAGCGTCGCTGTACCTGGGTGACGTCATCGTCCTAGTATGTTGGAGCCATGAGTGGCACACAGACAGGGGCCCTCTCCGAATAGCCACAGTTCAGTAGGCAGTACTTTTCAATAGGGAGTTTCAGTATACTGAACTTTCGTGGTCATTTTTTGGGTCCACCTCAGTATACTGAACATTTCAGGATGGATACTAACTTCCTGGTTTTATGCAGTATGGATCGGATGTGTGCTTTCAGGAAATTAATTGTATTTTACCCACAATGCTGTGTGAAATTAAACGTAAATCGTCACTTCACGTCCGCCTCCAAATCAAAACAAAACGAGCGTGGATTAATTGAATCAATTTTTAATCTAGAGTTAAAGTCCCGACTGAAATCACTACTTTAAATTAACAACAGAAAATATAACAAATATCTGCATTATTATAAAACCTTTCCCCCTCTATTTAAATAATGATTTCACTATTTAAATGTCTTTATTGGTTTATTTCACTTTATATTCTGCATATCACTGTCTTTCATTTGTTCTTTACTTTATATACTGTATGTTATTTAATCTTTTACTTGATTTACATTGTGATATTGTTTTTTGTTTACCTGACTGTATATGAGCATTACTCTTCTTTAATAAAGCTAAACAAAAAAAAGAAACAGGTAGATACGGCTGGTTCAGCAAATGGCCACTTCCTTCCATACTGAATGAATCAGATGAAGTAGGAACAAATGCACCCTGTTTTTAAGTTCTCTTTGAGAGAAAAACAAAACTTTAAACTGTTTTCCTGCGTGATGATTTATATTGCGTTCAGCTTTGTCTACAACGTGCAGTTTCTGTACAGCTGTGTTGTTCTTTTAGTTCCGTCTGTTTTCACTTTCGGGACTTTGCACTCCCAGATACAGTACGGTAGTTGAGCTCTCAGCCTGCTGCAGGCAAAGTTGTGAGACACAGACCTGCTGGCGTGACTCCGCTGGTCACTCTTAAACTTTAATATAGGACTCTTTCAATCAATAGAGAACTCCACAAGGTTTATTTACGGAACAATATACCACTGTTTCTGTAAATGCATGATTATGACCTCGTGAGGGAGAAAAGATGTGGAAAAAGTCAAGCAGTCAGAAACCTGGTCTGTGTCGCTGTCTTTCCCAGCACAGCGTGCACTCAGCTTTCATTACACAATGAATGGGGATGTGTTTTTAACATAGACTGTAAGGTTTGTAATCACGTCAGGTCGCAGTGATAGGGGCTGCTGCACCCGCTGTAATGACGACACGTGGTTCAGTATTTTTTATTTCAGCTGCATCACACCGGTGTATAAGACGCCAACTTTTAAGATGAAAAAATAGGTATTAAAAGTGCGTCTTTTACACCGGATTTTATTTTCGGGATGATTCCCTTTATTTTGTTAAATAATGGCAAGCTAGAAGTTTAAAATTAACTTTATACAACAAGTGTCGCGTCCCATCTCCACACACAAGTTCCCCTGGTGTGTATGACATGACCAGTGTTGGGAGGGTTACTTTTAAAATGTATTCCCCTACAGATTACATGTCCTAAAATGTAATCTGTAATGTATTCCATTGGATTACTCAAGTAAAGTAATGTATTCTAAGGGCCAGATTTACTAAGCTCCCAAGTAAAGAGTACTAAATTGCGTGATCACTCCAAAAGTTTGCACGTTTGGTTGGTGGGCGTTTTGCAGGTGATCTACTCAGAAAATTTGCGCGAATGACACCAGGTGCAAACCTTGTGGAGGCGGTAATATTTAAGATAGGTTTTTCCGTGTTTTACTGGTTTACATCACGGAGAGTTTGGACAGAAAGCAGGATGACTGCAAGCGCAAAATAGGTATTAAATGTCCCTTACCTTCAAACAGCAACACGGTAAGTATGTCAACTTCCGGTGCGCTCTCCTCTCTCCCGTCTCGTGTCTCGTGTCTCTCTCATATACTGTAAATATTAGGTCTCTCTCCCTTAAAGCCCTCCCTCTCCTTTCATGTCAGTTACTGCTGACTGAACCAATGGACGGAGTCGGTCAGGAGCATAGACTGTAAATATTGGTCAGGAGCTCTGTGTCACTAAAGCCCGCCCCTACTACTTCTTGAGGGAGGGCGGGCATATGTACAGATTATCATCAACATGCAGCGATAGTAGCCTTCATCCTCCTCCGTCACCTCCCTGATCAGGATGGAGCTGTTCTGCAGTCCAGCATCTCGAAACTCCACCTTACCACTAAAGTAAGGGTCCATTCTTTGACCGAAGTGCAGGTTGTCAGTGGCGATGGTCCTCTCTCCATAAGGTAGAATCTTCTGCCAGGTGACTTGATGAACTTCTTTGGTTTGAATCAGCTGACAGTTTAAGCAGGCCTGTTCTCCCACTGCTGCCATCACAGTGTGCTGAGTTTGTATCAGAGCTGCTGGAGCTGCAGAGACACAGAAACATTGTTTGACTCAAAACTTGATTCCTTTAATCAATAATTTTCACAATAAAGAGGCACAGACACATGGATTTTTAACAAAGTTTTTACCTCTATAACTCAAAATCATTCAAAAAGTGATCTCAAAGCAATAAAAGTTAATCTAGTGTGAGTGAGGCTGCATGTTTCAGTATTTTCAGACACAACAGAAACTCTGTCACTTTGGTTGCTATGTTACAGACTACAATATGAGGTAGTCTACAAACACACTGATGAAGCCGGGTTCATTAGGGTTTGTTTTCTCTGCAAAATTTCAAACAGAATATGAGTTAAACCAGGAACTATGCAAAAGTGTTTCAAATAAACTGCCAGAAATGTGGCGCCAAAATACAGTAAACTTACTAAAATTAATTTAGAAAACAGGAACAGCCAGTTGCGTTCAGATTAACAAAAATACATAAAGACTAAAAGTTATAGCCTGAGCATTAAACATTTCTTACCTTTCTGAGAGACTGTCAGCACAAATAGAGAGAGAATAAGTGCACGCTGCGCCATATCATTCATTCACCCACCACCAAACTAAAGTGAAAGTACAGAAAGCGCCATGTGTTGGTTAAAATCAGGATCAACAGAGACCTCTAGTGGCCACGAGGTCCCTCCCTGATCTATGATTTTGAATTATTATGATTTCTGCTGGCATTAAAGCTCACAAACATGCATGATTCATTATTAGTGTATACTTCATGTTTCGTTCAAAGAGTAAGCAAAGAAAAATACAGTAGTGGTTATTATATACGGGCAGTATTCAAAAACAAAAAGTATAACAAAGACCCCATCTAGTGGACATGTTGTGCAACTGCAGCTGAACTCACAGCACTGCAGTTAATACATCCTGTGGTTAGAAAAGGAGGAAAATGTGGACACTTTGTCACTTTCTGACAAAATAATATTATGGTCATACATGGGTCACTGGTTGGAAATGCTGAACAAATACATTTTATTGTAAATGATCTCTTGTGGACCTATCACACACAACCATGACACATACATGGATTCTGGTTTTGTTATTTCTGGTAAAACCGAAAGGTAACCAACATTCATTATGTATCATCAGAGTATTACTATTGGTCCACGGTAAGTTCATTGTTGGTTTGTTTTAAATGAAGATTTAGAATGAAATGAGGAAAATTGAAGCTGAAGAATTTAAATGTATTTATTTAAAAATATATCAAAATGTATGAACAAGAGATGCATAAAAAAGGAAGCAAATGCCTCATATGCCATGGCAACAGGGGTAATAAAATAGGAATGTAACATACATAAATTCTGATTTGTTATTTCAGGTATTAGTGAAGATAACCAACATTAGAGTAAACTACTGTCTATGGTAAAGTTCATTTTGGGTTTGAAGAATCATAAAGAAATAAATAAAAATTGAAGCTGCAGAATTTAAATGTATTTCTTTTTAAAGTATATCAAAATGTATAAACAAGAGATGCATAAAAAAAGACAATAAAAGCATCATACGGATTCAAAAGAGAATCTGCTGGACTTAACACTCATCAACAGACACAGATGTGGTCCTCTAACATGCTGCAACATCTGGACTGATATGTTGAAGTCACTCTTGTTCACTTTGTCACCTTGTGTGTTTCTGCATCACTAAAGAGTTTGTGTTTTTTTACACTGTGGTGTCCGAGATGAAGCTTGTTGTTTGAAGTTGATCATCTTGTCAGCAGGAGGTGTCCGCTGCCTGAGGCCCTCCTGCTCGTTCTGTTGAAGCATTAAAGTCGTTCTGTTCCTTTAAGGGGGAAAAAAACATTCTGGTGAATTTCTTCAACAATCATCAACACTTATTGGTTATATCAACAAACAATTTACAACATTCTTATAAAAAATTAATTGTCTCACATGAGAGGTTTCTCAGTAGGTAGCGGTGTTTTGATCACCTCAGGGTCTCCTTATTCTTACACCAAGATTTGGGGCTGGATGGAAATCAGAAAAACACAAAGAAGAAACTGATTATGGGGGAATTCAGCATAAAGTGATGATAACAAACAACAGTTCAGCGCTAGCGTAGAGTAACATAAATCAAAGCACTAAAAGCAGTCTTATGTTAATAATCTATGATAATCTTCAAGGATCCACAGGAGGCCAAGCGGGCCTGAGCCATGCTACAGCTAATGTTAGCATAGCTTAATTTAAGGGAACTATTTCAGTGTGCTGAGACAGGCTAAATAACACTGACATCAATCATCACATCCACACAGGTTAGGAGTAAAAAAAAAACTGTTCAATAATAACAAACACTTGTATTGCAAACTGTACCTGTTCAGTAGTTTTCGTCTCAGAAAGCACAGAAGACAGAACAGAAGAACCACTAAAGAGACTATCACAACTGCTGCGATGACCAGAGTAATACCAGCGTCATCAGATCCAGTGTCGATCTTTGAACCTGATAAAAAAAAAAACTTCATAAATACAAACGTTGACCATGTGTAGAAATAATAATGTATAATAATGATTCTCACCATCTTCAGACGACAGCTGGACTGCAGGAATCATCACAGAGTCCTTCTTCAGAGGAACAGAGGGCACTTGAACTTCACATTCAACCTGTGTGCTGTTGTCATAGCTACGCCTCAGCACACATGTGGTGTAAACAGTGACCGTACCGTTTGTGTTTTTGAAACTGTGTGTAGAAAAGTTGAGTTTTTGATGCAGGACGTTTAATGTGACAGTGGGAGCAGGTCGACCCGTAGCTGAGCAGAAAACAATGACCTCTTCAGAAAAGTTTGATTCTCTGACGTGAAGAACGGGTCCATGCAGCTCTGAAAATACAAGATGAAAGTTATAGAAGAAACTCGAGGGATGACATGAATGTGTTGTATTACTATCATACTATCATATTATATTAAGGCAGGTACTGACCGTAGAGTTTGAGGCAGGTTGTGGCAATGAGAGTACCATCAGGGTAGGTGTTAAACATGCAGCGATAGCAGCCTTCATCCTCCTCCGTCAC